TCAGTCTACCCATCTGTGCGTCGAAATCACCTGCGACAACCACCACATCCGAACGATTGAGTTTTGAAATGAGGCTAAACAGTTTATGGTAGAAGTCGCTGTTGACTTCATCCGAGCTGCAGTCAGTGGGTGAGTAAACAGGGATTACAAAGGGACAACGGTGAGTCTCACTATTCCTTTTAGTTCTCACCGTGCCGTTCAGTCGCATAGCGCAGAGGCGACTATCACCTATGATCCAGTCAAATACTGAGTTTTCTGCCCTAGTGCCTAATGCTATGCTTACACCTGCAAAACACCGACAGCTAGCTATCGAATCTCCAGAAACTCGAAGGGTGGATCTTGCGGATTCACCAGATTTGTCGGATGTTAGGTGAATAACCGCACTTCGGTCTTGTATGCGTGTCTCACAAACACAGCACGTATTTATGCCCCGGGATGCTAGAGTCTTCGCCAATGAAGCCTGTTGACCAATTTCACGGAGGGTGCGGACATTGAAGGCTCCAATATGTAATTTGTAGCGTAGTTTAAGGAGACCAAGGATGCTGTTCTGTGAACTCAGATCGTTGTCAAAGGCTGCAGAACTAGGAGAAATTAAAGATGATATAGTATTGTTAATTGGGAGACGTGAAGAAAGATTAGGAGGTAATGAGTGGGGGGGGGGTGGATAGCAGTCTGAGGAAACTTGAGTGCTGATAGAGTTGTGAGGGTGATCGATACTTCCCAGTTGCCCATACCGTGGAAGGCTATTTCTTCTGAAAGTACCTGAAAGAAATTTGTGTGACCGCAGAGCACATCGGACATCTGCTTGAGGCCTGTCACACTCAGCCTTTTGTGTATGATTATTTTGATTTTTTGGGGCCGGATGGTTGAAAAGGAACGACAAATGAATCAACACCGCCGGCCCGCAGACCGTGGGGCATGGTGGAGTGTGCTATTTTTGGGGCCGACCTTTTCTACCCCCCCCTCTTCCATTGAGAAGGCAGCATGGCACTGCTGGTCATCCAAGGAAAACACCTTACTGCTGTCGCACCCCATCCAGCTAACAGCAGTACGACTTCGCCCTCAGACCCCCATCATAGTGTAGTAATTTACATCACAACGGTAACTGCTTTTCGTCTAACCACTATCCAACAGACCTTTCTGGTATGGTAGGACCTCGAGGGAACAAGTGTTCCACCAGCATAGCTCGTTGGGTCATTGTGATATGCAAGCCGGACCACCACGTCAAGGTAGCAGCTATTGGTTACGCTGGATCGAATTGATAGACCTCTGTTGGCAGATGGGTTCCTACGCATCTGCCTCCATTTTGGTTGAATATTTATTGTCATAGTTGACATGGTTGCGGTGAAATGAACGTCCTGCATCTCACTACCAGCCACAACTAAGTCGATTTTTATCATTCGTAGTTTCAAGAGCACTGAATTATTTCCAAATGAATTCTGTAATTATTACCTCCTCCATACTCTCACTCTTCGTTTACTTCGTCGCCTATTTTATGGCTAGTTATGTCATTATACTTGGTTTCCGATTTTGTGCTAATGATTTAGGCTACTTGTTATTAAAAACTAGCATAACAAATACCTACCAATTTGTCGCTTTATAATTTGGCAAGCTTGTTTCGGAATTAAGATATTTGCTGTCTCTTGTTTCTTTCGAAAAAGAAGAAACAGGTAAGCAATAGGTTTATGGTCATGTAAAACATGTACAGAATGCCGACCTATATATATATATATATATATATATATATATATATATATATATATTGGGGACATGGAATGTCCGCACGATGTTTGAACCCAGTAAGGCAGCCCAGATTGCAAAGGAGATGAGAAGGTATCACATCGAAGTGCTTGGGATTTGCGAAAGCAGATGGAATGGGAGTGGACTCTCCAAACTGTCAACTGGAGAATCAATAATCTACTCCGATACTGTCACCCGGACGCCAACCACGAGCACACTGAGTTATGGAGTGGCTATCATGATGTCCTCAAGAGCATCGAAGGCTCTCATGCAGTGGGAACCAATCTCCTCCAGGATGATGACAGCAAGATTCAACTCAAAAGGAAGAAAGGTCACAATCATACAATGTTATGCACCTACAAATAATGCAGAGCAAGAGAAAAAGGAGGATTTCTACAGACAACTTCAATCAACACTGGACAAGACCTCACCCAGATGGCGATATCAAAATTCTAATGGGCGGAGTGACATGAATGCCAAACTGGGAGGGGACAACACGGGAAGAGAACTAACCATGGGTCGAGAGGCGCTAGGTGAAATGAATGAGAATGGAGAATTGTTTGCAGAATTCTGTGCATTCAACGATTTGGTGATTGGAGGCAGTGTGTTCAGGCACAAAGATATCCACAAAGCGACATGGATTTGATTTCACCAGATGGACACACTAAAAATCAGATCGACTTTATCTCAATCTCAAGAAAATGGAGACGCAGTCTACTTAACACAAGGTCAAGAAGAGGAGCAGACCACTCACTGTCTAGTGCAAGGAACCTTCCAAATCAAGTTAAAAGCCTTCAAGGAAGCTGGTGATAGACCATAGTTCAAGTACAACACTCGGAAACTGAAGGATGAAACTACAAAGGAGATCTTCACGGCAGCCATCAAGACAAAATGGGAGACATCGAGCAACATCCCTGAAGAAACCTGTGTGGAAGAACACTGGAAGTCTTTGAAAGCTATGTGGAAAGAAACCAGCATAACCGTATTAGGAAGGAAGAAGAAAGAAGACAAAGAGTGGAATGGATCTCGACGGATACCTGGAAGCTGATAGAGTAGAGAGAGGAGGATGGTGAAGCAGAAGATAAACCAGTGCAAGGATGCTCAACGACAAGAGGAACTGAGCACAATGTATAAAACACTGGATAAAGAAGTGAAGAAGAGTGCACGCAAAGACAAAAGACACTTCTACGAAACACTGGCAAGTGAAGCAGAACAGGCTGGGCTGGTAAGAGAGAACTGACGACATTGTATCAAATAACCAGGTTGCTATCAGGGAATAGACCAACACAGATGAAACCAATAAAAGATGAAGAAGGAAATTTAATTACGAAAGAAGAGAAACAGAGGAAACGATGGGCCGACCACTTCAAGAAGCTCTTGAATCGACCACCACCTGCACTTCGTCCAGAAATACCACCTGCAGCCGCTGAACTACAAGTGAACATTAATCCCCCAACGAAAATGGAAGTCCTGAACGCCATAAAGCTACTGAAATGCGGGAAAGCAGCAGGACCAGATGGAATACCGCCAGAAGCACTGAGAACAGATGCAGAGACAACAGCGGACATGCTCACACCACACCACTATTGCAGAAGGTGTGGAAGGAAGAGAAGGTACCTGCCAGTTGATTGGAAGAAGGGTTACCTTGTCAAACTGCCGAAGAAGGGAGACCTCAGTGTTTGCAAGAACTGGTACACAATCACTCTCCTGTCCACCCCAAGTAAAATATTAAGCCGCATCATCCTGGAGAGGCTTAAAGACGCACTGGATTCAAAACTGCGACCGGAACAGGCAGGCTTCAGGAAGTACAAATCATGTGCAGACCAAATTGCAACGCTTCGTATCATCATAGAACAAAGCATAGAATGGCAATCAGCTCTCTGCCTCAACTTCATCGACTTTGAGAAGGCCTTTGACAGCGTCGACCGAGAAGTAATTTGGAAACTGCTTCAATACTACGGAGTACCACAAACCTTTATCCGCCTCATTCAACAACTATATGAAGATGCCACATGCCAGCCAAGTAATTCACAATGGGAAGCTCAGCTCAGTGATGCCTTCGAAGTGAAGTGAAGACAGGAGTGAAACAAGGTTGCCTACTATCACCCATGATATTCCTGATTGTGGTCGACTGGACTGGACTGGATCATGCAGCAAACAGTAGGCAGCGAGAAGAGGGGGATACACTGGACGGCGGAAAAGAACCTAGAAGACTTGGATTTCGCCGATGACTTGTGCCTAATGTCACATTAACTTGAAGATCTGCAGGCAAAAACTAACAAGTTGATAGAAGAGGCGAGGCAGTGAAGACGGGACTTCAGGTGAATATAGAGAAGACAGAAGTGATGAAGATACCGCACCACCACCACCAACAACAACAACAAACTCCAGTCACCATCAACGGGAGAAACTTAAAGGAAGTAACCTCCTTCACTTATCTAGGAAGCACTGTTTCAACTACAGGCGGGACAGACGAGGACGTCAAAGTCAGAATCGGAAAAGCAAGACAGGCGTTCATTAGCCTGAAACCAGTGTGGAGATCTCCTGCACTCAGCATGCGGAACAAGATACGGATTTTCAACACCAACGTCAAGTCAGTGCTCTTGTATGGCTCAGAGACTTGGCGCGTCACGAAAGGTATTTCCAATAAACTACAGACATTCATCAACAACTGCTTACGCTCGCTGCTGAAGATCAGATGGCCAGAAAAAATAAGCAACAAGGAACTCACTCTGGGAACGAACCAGCCAAGAACCTATCACGCAACAAATATGCAGGAAGAAGTGGAGATGGATTGGGCATGCACTGAGAAGGCCGACTGAGGACATCACGCGTCAGGCCAGTTGCTCGAGTGGAATCCCCATGGGAAGCGACGAGTTGGACGTCCGAGGGTGACATGGAGGAGGTCGTGCGAGGAAGAAATGAAAGCTTCTGGGCTGTCGTGGGACCAGGTTCAAAAGATCTCGGAGAAGAGAGGTCACTGGAGGCGTGCTACTGAAGCCCTATGTTCCACTAGGAACCCAAGGGACTAATAATAAAATAATAATTATATATATATATATATATATATATATATATATATATATATATATATACATCGAAAAAAGTAAAATTTATATGATGAAGGTGAAATGAAACGTAAGGCACATTAGAATTCGAACCATCAACATAAGGATTAGCAGCTGAGCTATGAGACCTAGCTGCTGACAGTCATATGATCGGGTGATGTGTAACTATCCGTTCATCATGAACATACTATCCGCCCAGCCAAGACTTCCACTCCCAGTATAAATGGAGGTGAAATGAAGCATCAATGATCCTCAGTCCATTAGTCTAAATCCTGGTTTTCATCTCACCTTCAGTCATTACCGCCTACGAATAATACTAGTCTGCTAAACCCCAGCTATCTCAGACAGCGAGCATGATAATTAGTTAACCTATAGCCATTTGATACATACTAGCAGATCAGGTTTTGAACTTTACGTTGTTTGCTTTTAATACTCAACTCAATATAAATACATTTAATATGAGTCGAACGATGTTAGCCATCTCCAATATCACCTTTCTAAATTTAGCAACAACTACAACTGCAGGTATGCAAAAGTATAAACTCATCATTCTGAAGTACCAATAATTAGTCTTCGCAATATTCCTATCCATTTATTCTATTATCCTAATGTTGAAAGAAAATCTAAATTCACATACTAGATACCTTGAAGTTCAGTGTAAATGTAGTGGGCGTTGTTGATAAGAATGAATATAAGTAGTATATGTTGAGAGGGTGGCAGAAATCATAGGAAATTACTAGCAATGGGTAAAGATTCTGCCAAGAGAAACGCAAGAGACAAGGCAGGCGTGTGAAGAGCAAATCAATAAAGAAGCAGAAGAGGAAATGAAGCACATTTTACAAATGACGGTTTTAGTGCAAGGTGTACCACATTTAAGGACTACTGTTTCACTAGTTAACAATAAACATGCCTTCCTCCATACCTGTCTACTTGTTTCCTTCATAAACAGTTTAGTGATGAGTGATAACTAGTTTGTCGAAATAAATATGAATCGTACTTTGGTGATGAGTTTTTGTATTCAGTATATGACAGTTTCTATCGATTGAAATCTTAAGGCTTATGGTTTTCTGCGCAGAAAATGTTATCATACTCATTATAAGTGACCTAGTTTCAGTTATATTTTTCTGATTTTCCGGTAAGGTAGTTTAGCAACCTGACATAAAGAATTACATAAGTGGAGTAAATTATTGACATTTTGAAAAAATGTGTGATAACTGTGAGCTGTAGGTTGTTTGGTTGATGAAATAATATTCTACGATTTTTTCACAGTGGGTGAATGATTAGCCTTACACATTTTTGGTACCGCGTTTCTTACCTAGTACTCCTAATTTTTATACTACTTGCTTATTATTAAGTAGCAGTATGAAACTCTTGTCATTTTCCTATTTCATACACTTCAAGGAAAATCGAAAATTTCGCCAGTGTTATGTATCCTTGTTCAACGTATTGTTACCATTTCAATGGATAGGGATCCTTTCTGTTCCTTTGACTATCTCACCTCTATTTCCACTGATTTCATTTACTTTATGCATAATTTTTAAAGCTTTGCGTTGTCCTGTGCATACGCACGATTCTCGAAGTAAATTCTAGTTGACTATATGTTGTTTGTTTGTAGACAAATTCGAGTGATTATGCTTTTTTCATGGTGATAACCAACTGGGTAGTGAACTATTCCTCAATGTTTAAGATGGATTTATCTTATAGTGTCATATTCAAGATTATTGCCAACTTATATTCCCGAGATTTTGTAAGTAACCCGAGCATTTGGTTTGGAATTACTCACATGAAATCTATAGATGGACGACCACTTTTGCGTAATCCATTAGCAAATGGCAATTAGGATTTTTCGTAGTGATACTAGGTATCTTCATTCACTCGAAAATGAATATCAATCAACATTTTTTTAATGGATGGAGGTAAAAAAAATAATTAGGAATAGTTTGAAAAGTCTCAGCTGTACGACAAGCGATTACCGAAACTGTTATTAGTTATTATTAATATATTAGAAAACAAACATGGCACAGCAACGGTACCAAGAAATGCGTCACACAAAATAATATATAAAACATCATGAAGATATAAAGCAGAGCGAAGTGGATTATTAATTAAAAAACATTAACAGAATGATTAGAGAGGCAGTCCAATAAAATACGTTCACAAACCATTCATAACCTTTCAGGAGCAAAAGATAGAAGAAAGCTACAGCATGACCACCACTGGTTTCGACTCTGAGCCATATTTGATAACATCTCAAGACACTGAGTTGCATGATCTCTCAGACCCCACCAGGAGGGTCGTGGTGCACTTACAGATGCTAACCCGATACAACTATCCGTGATCCCACGGCGCCACGCCATACACTGACCATCCCTCCTCTTCTTCCTCTCAGTTTCAAGGCGGGAAAACAATGAAGGGTATGGAAGCCACTGGGACGACATATGTTACACATGTACGAGCCACTGAAGCCGGTGTTTCCAGATGGTTTGGCTTACTGAATGATGATCTGCATAATTCTCAAACGTGCGCTATCGTACCCCAGAATTATTTACATGGTGTTGCCACCGGATATGAGCATATCCTCAGCTTGAAGAGGCCAGGTTTCACAGGCGTAGAGGAGGACTGCTCATATCAAAGTGTTGTAAACCCGACCCTTTATTGATCAGCCTAACGTCACGACGGCCCCAAAGGTCGCCCAGATTGGCGTATGTCACTCTGGCTTTCGATATGAAATTAGAAATCTGACTATTCATATAACTACCCATTTACATGAACTTTTCGAATACTTCTAACAGCTCACCACTAAGGGTAAACGCATGCAGAAGCTTCTGCCAATCTTGCAGAAGTACTTTACACTTTCATGATGCAAAGGACACACTATACTTACTGACACTAATAGTAGTTTAATAGTAGTCGGTGTTTGAGTAACTACTGCTAAAAATGGTCCTAATTTATGCTGTTATTCAAAGATTGGAATATTTTTTGGTGGGGTGATGGTGAAAATATGAAACATTTTGTTTTTGAACTCATAGGAACGGTTACTACTGAAGAGTAAGTAGATATACGTTATTGTATATGTTCTGAAAATCTTTTCATAAAGTTAAGTTTTTAATCTTAAGAATGATTATCAAAGTGTAAAACACTCAAAGTTTCTGTTTACTCTCTAGTGACCAATCAATAGATCTAACCTACTCCCACAGGAGGTCAACTACTGCTAAGATAACACAGCGGTAATGTCTCTGACTACGACATTCGGTGATGTGGGTTTGAATCCCTTTAGGGAACTCAGTTCCCTCGAGGTTTGAGATAATCCTTGTTGACGAGTACCAATAAGCAGGAAACCTAGGTCCAAGGTTTTCTGTCGACTGCTTTCAACCAACTTACATCAGTTAAAGTATTTCCATAAAACATTCTGCTTAGAATAGCACCTGAAACGTTATATATTCTGAATACTTCTGTTTATTTAGGACTATCAAGGTCATATCTTTATAAACATTAAGGTAGTTGATATACCCAGCAATTTATAAGCTCTGATTGCTGCCCAAGTTTTACGGAGTAAACTTGCAACGTTGCTACAAATCCAGATGACTCAACACTACGGTGAACTGTATTTGATGTTGAGTGTTAGAAGTCAACTGGAGTGAAGCCATAGACCCATGTTTCATGTTTTTCACCTGAATGTCTTGACGGTCATGTGCCTGACTTCAGTACTGACTGGAAATGATGGAACTAAAAAATGCTAGATTACTATATGACTACATATCCTAGTAATTTTCTATTACTGTTTTCACACTACCGCAGGACTTGTCAGACATAGATACCATATTTACCATTTGTAATCAGTTGTTTATACGTGCGTTACGTCAGCTGTTTCAAGAACCACATTGAAATTTGTAGAATGATCATGAATAAGATTTATGATTGACTTTGTGGACCAAGTTGTGATGACTAGCAAAAAGAGGGGAATGTCAAACCATTTCCTGGATGCTTAAGAATAAACGTATGATTTTTGTTTACCGTTTAGGAACACGATATATTGTACACTAGGACGAAATGTCATACAGTTGTTTCCCTCTATGAACTTGAACAGAAGAGTATGATGATTAATTTAGCAATATTAGCATTTCCATAACCTTGATTAGTAAGAAAGGCTATTTTTGTTGACTCAAGGTATATCTGAAAAAGTGATACTTTGCAAGTACGCAATAGTTAGAAGGTGCAAAGCCTATGAAAAGCTGCTTTTCACGACAAACATTTTTGACGTGATCAGATAGTAAACTATATGAAACCGATCAGTAGTGTCAAATGTATCAAACAGGTGTATATGACAAGTAACTTATGTTGCACTTATAGATTACTACTGATAGAAAGTTATTTGAGTAAAAATAAACCAATAAGTCCTTAAACTGCTTATTTTTGTTTGATAGTCGAATAATAAGAGGAAGCAATACTGTGATGACATGGTATGCCTAAAATGTACTTGCAAGAAAGATCCCACCCATCATTCTACAAAACGAATGACACTAAAGACCACTCTAGCAACTATTAAAACAACCAATTAGATGTCTTTATTCCGTTTGAATTAGTTATTTTAGTGATTACTAAGGTGGCCATTGGGCTTATTCTCGTTGGTGCATGTTGCAAGAATGAACTAGCAAGTCATGTCCTTACTTTCAATGAAGCTGTCACTGAAGTTTCAAATACGTGTGACAGCTGAGTGAGTCATCAAAATCCTGTTAGGTGTCCACATATGGATTAAAGTAACTACCATTGTACGTTTACAAAACTTATATTTATACTTATAACTGAACTGTTTGAGTTGGTTTAATCTCTTGATCGATTCTTTTGGTTGAACTTCCTAACAACTTGAAAAAGGAAGATTAGACCCACAATGCTTTTTCTGCTTGCATCGACTTCAGTTTATAAGTTGGTGGTGGTATGAAGTGTAACTACTTGTTCATAATTCCATTTTGAAAAGTGTAACACTTTCGACTTATGTAATAATTGACCGTTTTGAATAGTGAATTCTTACCAAAGATTTGAAAATTTCACTTGGTTAAACATTAAACACCTTCAGTTATCGTATCAAATTATTTCCCACTCTTAGATCATTTTGGTCACAAATGTTGTAAGTAATCCTCATTTTCATGATGACTAGTTGATTACAGTATTTTGATTTCTTAGTATGTTTATCACAAGTAAACTATGAAAATTAGCATTACCTAAATCATAAACTAATTTTTAAACATTACGATCAAGTATTATAAATAGGAGGTTGTAGACATCACATGTCCGCAATTGATGGACTTTGCTAATTTACCTAGACAAAACACTCTGTCTTATCATATTCTAAACAAGATAACTCAGGTTTCCAGTCTAGTAAATACTAGATGAGTTGGCGTGAATACTCCTAGAATAGCCTAGATGAAGCAGTGACTATTATCAAACAAACTAGCATACATCGCAATTTCACTCAACAGAATGACATGAGAATTTTGCACACTAACTGCAAGATGGTTAAAAAAGAAGTATTGTTCCCAATAAGATTCTTCAATTGTCAAGATAAATATATTTATAAACAATGGTTATTTAACAGCTTGGTACAATATATTTGATGTTAAGTGTCACTCAGAAATCTTTATGCCACTGACCTTTACGAGGGGGAGTTCTCAGATCAACTTCTGGTTAAGGAACGTGTGCTCATGGTTAGATTATTTACTTTTCATTTCTATCCATGAGGATGGATGTGGATCATTGGGACACCTCAGTATGTGCATAAGCTAACAAGACCTTACTTTTAATCCACTAGATCATCTTGTTTCACTATCTTAGACCTTGACGGCCAGTTACATGCCCTTGTGTAAACGTTAACTAGGGTTACAGAATCTTCGATAGCCTGGCACTCAATCAAACGAAATCTCCAATAGACCCTGAAAAACAACCTCACAGGAACGTGATAGGGAGAACTTAGATGCCTCATCCACATTAAGCCAGGGGAGATAACTTCCGTGCTATAAAGAGAATTCGCCGATACAATACCCTTACGTTCATACCACAAAGAAAAACTGTCGACCCTTCCACCCCTAAGTGCAGAGATATAGTTATTGCTTTATCACTAAATCAAATCTAATCGGCCTAGCTGAATATATGGTCCACACACCAAGAAGAAAATAAACTTTGATAGCCATATTCAATCGATAATATTTAGTGTACAATTATCACATGTGCGCCACCCACAATGCATTTAGCTACTGTATGGGTCATGGTCAATTCCACAAACTTTGAGATTCACTATGGTTTACTAGGTTAATTGGGATGGATTGTCATTGCATAGACTTCTTTTTAGTCTACATTTGAACTGCTTTCGCTCTTCATTGAGCTCAGAACCTGAAAGAATGGGTTCTCGTATTCATTTAGAAGCTGTTGAGATCCTCTGGCCCCTACTAACCATTTCCTGAGAGTAGGATGAGGTCTTTCACGCTTTTTACAGTCGATTGGAAATGGTGCCAGGCTTCTTCTGGATGAGCAACACTGTTCTTTTCCGATAACTGTCCGGGTAGTTTCTTGCAGAGGCAGCCTTAGTATTCCCATCGTCAAACAGTACTCGCAATCACTTTGTTGTTTTCATTTTCCCCAGTTTATTTAGGTGCAGGCATACCCGTGCTCAGACCAGCGCACGATTGGTGTCGAGACGTGTTCAAGAAGGAGTGGAAACCTTCTAATAACCCTTTGTAGCTATAACTGATAGTAACATGGTCCATCTTTACCCTCCGCTCAGTTAAAGTCGATGGAAGCCACGTCAAACAATGTCTTCTTTTATTTCTGAATTTCTTGCTAGTCCGAAATAGGTGATTGTCTGAGCACAGTTGTAGAAGGCAATCACCATTATCTGTTAGTTCGGTTTGAATCCCGATCACCTAAATACCTTTCTGCCTGATTTAGTCTATCCACTTGTCCATTGAAATCACTATTTATGACAACCACATCTGAGCGTTTGGCTTTCAGTAGAAGGCTAGACAGTTTACGGTAGAACTCATCCTTCACTTCATACGAGCTGCAGTAAGCGGGTGCGCAAGCAAAGATTACAAAGAGACACCAGTGAGTTTCCCTGTTCTTCTTGGTCCTTACTGCGTCGTTCGGCTGGATAGCGCATGGGTGACTGTCAAGTGGGACGAAGTCGATGAGTGAGCTTTCTGCCTTAGCGCTTAATACTACACCTCCACCTCCAAGACCATAAGAACTATCCACCGAATCTCTAGGAAAATGAGGCGTAAATCTTACAGATTCACCATATTAGTTAAGTGAATAACCACACTTGGGTCCTATAGGTGTCTCACAAATATAGTACACATCCATGGTCCAAGAAGCCAGAGAAGCATGTTGGCCGATTTGACGTAGAGTGAAGACATCGGAAGCTCCAATATTTTTTAGCGTGGTCTCGTGAAACCAGGGATGCTGTTCCAAGTCATTGTCAAAAGCTGCAACGCTGGAAGAAATTAGAGATGCTGTGAGTGAGAATGTTGACCGAGAAATGCAAAGGAAAATTAGAAGGTAAGGATGTGGAAGGTTGATAGTGATTTTAGGGAACTTGAGTGCTGATAGAGTTGTGAGAGCGGCTGACAATTTCTATATGCCTACGCCGTGGAAGGATTCATACTAGTAGCTCGTGAACAGTGTTTGAAACTCTTCTGATCAGAACTTATATCACGTGACCATTCTTCAATGACTAGTAATTAGGCCCCTTCTTTATACATTACATTTTTAATGACTGCGTAATCAATGCTATGATTATAACTTATTTGAATGTTATCACAATCATACACATAGATGCATATAGTGATATCATGATGGAAAATTTAATATTTGTATACGATTATATGAAAATGAATCTTTGAAAAGGATTTCCTTCGCTGAAGTTGTCTACAATGTGATTCCAATCCAGCAACTGCATGATAGCGTTATAGCTGAAAGACTTAATTATCCTGCGCTTGATCCTGAGTGCTTATTGCTAAGCAGTATCAAAGATGAGATAGCTTTTTAGGTTTTAACAGTTCTACGATTGGTGTCAATTGGACATGAAATACCTTTTTTATTCTATATTCAATGTTTTAAGTTGATAATCAGTCATGACTCCTTTTTGTACTATCAAATGTTTTTCTTCTTCCTTTATAGTAATGCATTCACAACAGCTTTAGTGCTGAAAGCTGGAGAATATACTACATTTCTAACGGGTTCCGGTGAAGTGATTAAAACAATACATTCAATATTGTTTAATCATTAGAAAGTTGTATGTGCCAACACAAGCGATGTTATAATAGTTTGTATCACGTGTGCTGGTTGTTCATTTACTCGCTTGTTTCCAGTAAAAAGACTGCTCCAGATATAACATGCTTCGTGATATATAATTCTGTCCTGTCTACTTGTATGCTTCCATTAAAACTCCTAGTGACGTTACATGTGGGACAAATCAGTCTTATGATTAAAAAAAAACTAATGATTTTCCATAATCTATTTATTTCCATATGGAAGCTATAATTACAGTACGTTACCTAATAATAAGATGAATTTCTCTTATCTCAGTAGTTCCGTAGGGAATTAATACACTACAATTGTAGGAGGGTTTTCGAAATGTCAGTTCAACTTTCGAAAAAAACAATGGAATGCTAAAATTTTGAAACAGATTCAGATTCTTTAATCAAAACTAATTTGACATTTCCTGTCTAAAAAGCTACAAAATAGGTTCGGTGACGTTGTATGTTAGGCAGATTCCGTTTTGGAAATGAACCATGAGTAGAACCTACACCGATTAAACACTATATACATAACACCTAACAATTATCCTGAGTTCATTCAGAAATACTGGGAATCCAAGAGTGAGGAGGAGTAATATATAATTATAACTAGAGTCAACTTTTCTAAGATTTGGATTTTAGATGGTAAGGATCCATAAAAAATCAACAAAGGATTGAGGTATCTAGTACTTATCGGGATACAAAACACTATCAAACAGCATACTTGATCATAGACCGGTTCAGACACCCACCACCATCAGTATTGACTATTTCATGAAACCATGTAGTAAAAAATGAGTAGGAGGGTCGAACTGTGCAATACGTGGTACACAAACCGAATTTCAGATGTGCAACCTCATTAAGCAATACAATAACCTCTTACATACTTAATGCAAGGCATCTACCGAGTGTACAAAAACAAAAAAGCCCCAAATCAATAGAATTCAGCCTAACTTGAGTAAAACAGAAGCAAGCATTATAGAAATAATTCTTTTAGTAGTTGGTAGCAGCAGTACACCAGCTACCTTTGAGCCGTTTACTATCCTGTCACAATTTTAACGGACAATCCACACTGATCCTCCAGTTTCTACCAAATGTGAGAAACTTGCACTTACCAGAAACTAAAAACGGCATTATACCCGAAAAGGATGCTTACAGTGGTGTTTGGAAACAGTTGTTCATATTTATCCATCACACTAAAGTTAACAAATGGGCATAGTTTGCTGGTCAGCATTGATCATTTTAGCCTACAAGAAAAAACAACAACCGCCTTCTGGTGACAACCACGAATCTGCCTTGAGCAACATGATTTCCAAAATTTTAGGGTTCATAATGATTCGATACCTGGCCGGGACTCTCGAATAGCGAATTTAGGAAGCTTAGACCATCACCAGACCTACTTATGAATACGTCCATCACATTTTCAACTTTTATCGTCTACCAGAACTACCAAACTCAAGTTTCGACGTAATCTCTGACTTGAATGTAACTTCACCTAGTTTACTAGCCGATCCTAAGCCCGGAAAAAGAGGGGAGGTTGGCGTTGGGGCTAGCGATCCTACTCCGGAAAACCAATCTAACCGCTAAAGAAACTTCAAAGCACAGGAAATATAAAAATAAACTCATTCCTAGATAGAATCAGGGGGAAGAAATCACTCCGGTTGGTTAAAAAATTCGGGAAGCCAATTGGCCGACGTGTCTTCTCTCCCTCAATGAAAGCAAAAGTAAACACGGGGACGTGGAATGTCCGAACGATGTTTGAACCTAGCAAGGCTACCCAGATTCCAAAAGAGATGAGAAGGTATAGCATAGAAGTGTTAGGAATCTGCAGATCCAATGGAAGTGAACTCTCCAAACTGTCAACTGCAGAGTCAATCATCTAATCTACTCCGATATTGTCACCCAGACGACAACCACGAGCACACTGAGTTTCCGAGTGCCTATCATGATGCCCCCAACAACATCGAAGGCTCTCAGGCAATGGGAACCAATCTCATTCTCCACGACCATCACAGCAAGATTCAAATCAAAAAGGAGTCACAATCATACAATGCTACGCTACGCATATACAAATAATTAAGCAGATGAAGAGAAGAATAAGAAGAAGAATTCTATAGACAACTGCAATCAGTACTGAACAAGACTCCAGTCGGCGACAGCGATATCACAATTCTAATGAGTGGGGTGAAATGTTTTAATGCCAAAGTGGGAGCGGATAACACAGGAAGAGAACTCATCATGGGTCGAGAGGCACTCGATGAAATGATGAACGAGAAACAGAGATTTGCTCGCAAACTTCTGTGCATTCAACGATTTGGTGATTGGAATCAGGCAGTGTGTACAAACAAACACAAGGATATTCACAAGGCAGCAACATGCAGTTGATTTCACCAGACACCAGGACACACTACACTAAAAATCAGATCGACTTCATCTCAATGTGAAGAAAGTGGAGACGCAGTCAGTCTGTTGGACACAAGATCAGATGAAGAAGGGGAGCGGATGTAGTTTCATACCACCAGACTATCTAGTGCAAGGAACTTACCTTCAAAATCAAGTGGAAAGCTTTCACGGAAGTTGATGATAGACAACAGTTCAAGTTTAACATCCAGAACAGAAACTGTACTGAAAGACGAAACTACAAACGACATCTTCACGTCAGTCAGCCATCAGGAAAAAATGGGAGACATTATGCAACATCCCTGAAGAAACCTGCATGGAAGAACACTGGAACTCTTTAGAAGAGATGTGAAGGGAAACCTCTGTAACCGTGTTAGGAAGGAAGAAAAGAGAAGACAAGGAATGGATCTCGACGGATACATGGAAGCTGACAGAGAAAAGAGAGGAAGATGGTGAAGCAGAAGAGAAACCAGTGCAGTGAAAAGATGAACGAAAAGAGGAACTGAATACAGCCTATAAAACACTAAACTGGACAAAGAGTATACGGAAGGACAAAAGACACTTCTACGACACACTTGCAAGTGAAGCAGAACAGGATGCAGGTAGAAGAGACAGAGACCTGACAACATTATATCAAATGACCAGGTTACTATCTGGGAGAGGAGAGATCAATACAGATGAAACCAATGCACGATAGTGAAGGAAACCCACTTACCACAGAAGAGGATGAACAAAGGGAACAAAACGATGGGCTGACCACTTCAAAAACCTTTTAAATCGACCACCACCACCTGCAACTCGTCCAAAAATACAACCAGCAGCCCAGCCAAACAATTACCAGTGAACACAAACCCACCGACAAAAGTCCGATTCCTGAACGCCACGTCATAAAGAAGTCCGGGAAAGCAGCAGGACCACATAGAATTCCTCGAGATGCACTGAAAACAGACGCAGAGGCAATAGCAGACATCCTTACACCACCACTGCAGAAGGTATGGAAGGAAGTAAGTAAGGAAAGGTACCTGGTGGCTGATTGGAAGAAGGGCTACCTTGTCAAACTTCCAAAAAAGGGTGACCTAAGTCTTTGCAAGAACTGGCGCGGAATCATGCTTCTGTCCACCCACACCAAGCAAAATATTGTGCCGCATCATCCTGAAGAGACTACAAAACGCTTTAGATTTAAAATTACGACCGGAACAGGCTGGCTGTCTTCAGGAAGTACAAATCATGTGCGGACCAAATTGCAACCCTACGCTACGCATCATCATAGAACAGAGCATAGAATGGCAGTCAACTCAACTATACCTCAACTTCATCGATTTTGAAAAGACCTTCGACAGCGTCAACCGAGAAGTCATTTGGCAGGCAGCTGCTTCAACACTACGGTTTTAGTGCCACAAACCTTTATCAACCTCATTCAAAACTATATGAAGACGCAACATGCCAAGTGATCCACAATGGAAAGCTCAGTGACGCCTTTGAAGTGAAGAAAGACAGGAGTAAGACAAGGCTGCCTACTACACCGATCATCTTTCTGATTGTGGTGGCAGCAAACCATGAGGAGCGAGAAGATGGGCACACTCCGGACCGATGAAAAGAGCCTAGAAGTTTTGGATTTCGCCAACAATGATGATTCATGTCTAACGTCTTGTAGCACAAACTCGAAGATCTACAGGGGAAAACCAACAAGTTGACAGAAGAGGCAGCGAAGACGGGACTTCCCTTAGGTGAACGTAGAAAAAGCAGGTGATGAAAATACCCAACCACCACCACCAACAAGCACCATTCACGGGAGAAAACTAAAGGAAGTTGTCGCTTTCACCTATCTACCTAGGCAGGTAGCATTGCTCCAACTACACGTGGCGGCGGCACAGATAAAGACGTCAGAGGCAGGATCGGAAAAGCAAGACAAGACCTCCTGCATCAATCAGAAATCAATGTAGCGATCTACTGCACTGCGTTCTACTCAACAACAAAAAAACAGGATCTGGATTTTCAACACTAATTCAGTGCTTCTATGTGATGGTTCAGAGGCTAGGCACGTTACGAAAAGCATTTTCAACAAACTGAACACACACATATTTCTAGCCAGTCACCGCCACATGTGACGCAAGTTGGCAAATGACAAACTCCCCTTCTCTATCCGAGCTGAGATTTCGTCACCAACCAGACCGTTTGGCGAGTTGATACAACTCCCCAAGCAAGTAAAGTGGTTTACACATTCCACCACTTCACCCCCTATCATTAAACTGGGAGTATTTGTAGCAGGCAAGTCCTGGAACATCATCTTACATTTCACAGGTGTCAGCGAAACACATACCAAACATACTAGGATTCCCCCTCAACACCATTCATTTAGTCAGCGTCTTCACTTAACAGGACGAAAACGTCTGCATACTCCAATTCAACCAGATAACCTTCAGGGAGTAGGTCAATCCCTGTGAAGTCAGACGTATCTAAGGTTATATCCATTATTACGTCTATAACGAAGCTAAACAGAAACGGTGACAGTGGGTATCCTTGCGGGACACCACTGGTTGTAGTCAATTCTGATGACAACTCTCCACAAGCCCTTACACAGCTCTGTGAG